GGAGATGCACAACCTGGCCAGGTGGGTGGAGTCCACGGGGGGGCGGCGGGGGCCGCTCCGTGACCTAAACCCCGGCTGTGTGCTTTCAGGATGAAGAAGGCCGAGATCCCGTGCCCCGAGGTGGTCCTGCTGAAGAAACACATCCTGGTGATGTCGTTCATCGGCAAAGACCACGTCCCCGCCCCCAAACTGAAAGACGCCATGCTGAACTCAGAGGACCTGAAGAAGGCCTACTACCAAGTCCTCCACGTACGTACGCAAACAGGAAGTCGTCTCAGGATTCAATTCAGTTTCATTTTGAGTCTGAGGAGGCGTCTGACAGCTTCTCGCCGTCTTCCCGTGCAGGTGATGCAGCAGCTGTATCAGGAATGCAATCTGGTCCACGCCGACCTCAGCGAATACAACATGCTGTGGCACGAAGGGAAGGTACAGCGCCCCCGCTCTCACCTGTGCTCCTCCCCCCTCTTTGTCTCTGTGATGTCATCAGTCGCCCTCGCTCTCGTTGCAGGTGTGGCTGATCGACGTGAGTCAGTCCGTGGAGCCCACCCACCCCCACGGTCTGGAGTTCCTCTTCAGAGACTGCAGGAACGTTTCCACGGTAACCCGACTCCTCGCTGCTGGACACAGGAAATTTAACCCGATTCACGATTTCACTCGTTTTTATCTGAGTTTGAACTCGTTTGTCGCTCCAGTTCTTCCAGAAGAGAGGCGTGAGCGAGGCCATGAGCACCTACGAGCTTTTCAACGCCGTGACCAGCCTGAACATCCCCGTGGGCGCCGAGGACGAGGCTGAGTTCATGGCAGAGGTAACGGAGATGGTTTCAGGTTGACGACCTCCTGTTGTCAGGGTTGTATCACGCGGCGTCTCTCTGCTCCACAGATCGTGGCGCTGGAGAAGAGGAACGAAGACCACATCCAGAAACGAGGCAAGAAAACCTTCCCGGTGACCTCGGAGGACGGCGACCCCCCTTTAGAGCCCGACGCCGATGACTAACGCCCGCACAGCTCGCAGATTCTTCATGATCCCGCCGTGTTTTTAGACAAATCCGAAAAAGAGATGAATGGAGGACGAGGACGACGCCTCGGCACCTCCAACCCACCACCCTACTCGCTGCTTCCTGTAAACGGGAAGAGTGAGGGGGCGGGGTTTAACGTTTAACCGCATTGGACGTTAAAGTCAGAGCGTCAGACGATCAGAGGCTCGGGTCTTCCTGCTAAGATTGTCCCACGCTGCTCGCGGTGTGTGTTTTTTGTAAACGCTTCGTAGATTAAAACCCGACTTCAGGGGGAAACGCCGTCACTGAGGCGCTCTTACGATCACGCTGCAGGAAAACAGGTTCACCCTCAAACTTTAGAAAAAAGTAGAAATCAGCTGAAACTTCACTCTTGTAAAATCAAATGAATAAATTTTTCTTCTAGTAAAAACATTAAAGCTCCCGTGTGTTCAGGAGTCATGGAGGGTCGAAGCAGGAAGTTAAAGCGTGAGAATGAAACGTTATGAACAGATGATTTCAGATCCATCATCATCCTGGTGAATGTTTAAAAAATAAAAGAAGTCAGATTTTAATGTTTACAGTAGAGGAGAGCAGGAAGTGCTGCTGTCTAGCTTCAACAATAATGTCGGGTTTTGAACAGGATGTTGGTCTCATGGTGCAACTTCAGAATAAAACACAAACATGGAAAATTCTTCTTGTTGGCTTTTATTTTGTAAGAACATAATCCTGATCTGTCAGGCTGTCAGAGCTTAGGAGCTCCAGGGGAAGTAAACACTTACAGCACATGATCTGTCACATGACTTTGTGTGAGGGGGACTTCCTGCGTAAACTGATGGCCTTCAGAATAAAAGTTTTTTTTTGCCCTTTGACTTTGGAGGGATGCTAATAAATTAAGAACATCCACATTAACTGTGTCCTAAAGCAGGGCTAGTCCTGTAGTGAACATTAAAAGTATGACGAAACATAAACGACCTGATCAGCTGATCACATCTCTCATAAACAGGAGTTCAACGGGAGCTTTCCTTTTTATCTGATTATTATGATTCCTGCTCAAACACAAGATCTTCTTTGGGAAATGGTCAAATATTCCTGCTGGTGTTCCATGTCAGCTGCATCCATCTTCACCCATCACTTCATTTACGGTAAAATGTGACAGTGGAGTTTATTTAAAACAAATATTTAATAATTGATTATTTTATTTAGAATGTTCACTGATGCAGAGAAAGAGGAGTGACACTGAGGCTGATGATTTGCTGTGGTCACTCTTACAGGGAGCAACTGAAAAAAGATGAAGGAGAATAAAAATATCTCCTAACATATAAAATGATAAAAATAATAAGCACCAGTATTGTTGACTGTGCAGTGACCTGCAAGAGGCAGTAGCTCAACTCCCGCCACTGCTGGAAGCCACCCCCGTTTTATATAGAGCCTCAGTTAATAGAGGATTCAGGGGGAAATGTAAAAGAAGAAGAAGAAAGAAAAAACATATAACAATAAAACTCCTGCTTTTATTGTGAAGGCCGAAGTGGAAGTCGTGTCTCTGGCCGGTTGCTTCGCTCTTCTTCCGCGATCAGAGCCCGGAGTCTGGAGGCAGAACCGAGCGGAAAACTGCGAAATAAAGCGGCGGCCCGGTGCGAAGGATGGCCGAGGAGCATTACCTGGAGCTGAGCGAGAACCCCGTGCAGTTCGAACACGCGTCGAGCGTCAACAACGTCTTCTTCGACGAGGCCAACAAGCAGGTGAGCTAACGGCTAACAGCTAGCAAAACTTCTGCCAGCGAATTTAAATGAATAAGTTCAAAAACTGGAACATTTACGGTAAAATGTGACAGTGGAGTTTATTTAAAACAAATATTTAATAATTGATTATTTTATTTAGAATGTTAACTGGCTTAAATTAAACTCTATGACAAATAAGAAGTAAACCAGAGGACACTCAGAGTCAGCTGTTGTTAAACTGGGATTAATCTGAACCACGATCAGCTGACGTGACATTCTCCGAAAACATGCTTTATTTTGTTTGTTCGTCTTTACAGGTGTGGCCTGTTTTTCGGCATATTTGAGGGATAGAGGACATTTTCATCTCTTATGTCAATAAAAGTTGCTCAGAGTCACACAGTGCTGTCAGACTTGAACCGCTCTGGTGTTTACGTGCGGAGTGATTTGGGTCTTAAACACACCTGTGTGCAGCTGTCCTACATCTCTGCTGTTTTCTTTCTCCAGGTGTTCGCAGTGCGTTCAGGTGGAGCCACCGGGGTGGTGGTTAAAGGTCCTGATGACAAGAGCAGCGTCGCCTTCAGGTTCGTGCGCTCAGCCAGGATTTAAAGATGAAGCACATCCGTCTTTTAATCTTTATTTGTACCTGTCGCCACATGAGGGTGAACCTTTACAGCTCTGGCTCTTGGTTATTCTTGGTGGTTGAAGCCGGGCCTGGAGATGCTAATGAGGGCGTTACACACCCGGGGCAGCTGGGTGTGCTTTGGAAAGTGTTCTTCAACTCAAACCCCCCCTCCCTTTATGTGTGCAAGTTCCGTTTAAAGTGGGTTCAGGTTCTCTCCCCAATGCCTGACGACACTCTGAAAGTTGAATAATTTGTCCCAGATACTGAAACTCTCGGCTTCATGCTGCGGGTCTTTAAAGCCTTCAGGTCAGAGGTCAGAGTGACTCTGAGGGTTAACTGGAGAGGCCGAAACTGGAGCGATGCGTTCACTGGCAGTGTTTAGATCAGTAAAACGGGAATGCTTATGTAAACTGTGTGTTTGACTCGTCAGGATGGACGATAAAGGAGAAGTAAAATGCATCAAGTTTTCCATCGGTAACAAGATCCTGGCTGTGCAGAGAACCTCCAAGTCTGTGGTGAGTTCAGGGACACTCAGGTCTTATTAGGCGCAGAGGAGCGGCGGGGCTGCTGTCTTATTTCACCTCTAGTGGAGAATTTATGATACAAACCTTTTTATTTGTAAATGTTGAATTTACAGATTTTGTTCAGTTTTTATTGTAAATGTTTGTTGTTTTTCTCCTTCCGGACATGCAGGTCGTGCATGTTTGGTTAGGGATCGTTTCAAATGTGACGTTTCTGTTTTGAATGTTTCTGATCCGGACGCACGTTGTGTTTGTGTTCGCAGGATTTCATCAACTTCATCCCCGACTACCCGCACACAGAGTTCAGTCAGGAGTGTAAGGTACGCTGCACTTCCTGCTGTTTGCACGCCGTCTGCTGACGGGTAAACTGGGCTCATGATGTTTGTGTCGCTCCGCAGACGAAGAACGCCAACATCTTAGGTTTCTGTTGGACCAACTGGAACGAGGTCGTCTTCATAACCGACCAGGGAATCGAGTTTTACCAGGTAACCCGAACAGCTCGCCCACAGAGTTTGGCTCT